CCTATACCTCCATTACTAATTGGTGAGGTGTGACATATTCGTCAATGTGGTCTCAAAGGCTCTGTCAAACAGTGTAACTAATGTGTCTGCAAATTGCTAAGTGCCTGCTTCTCTGATATAATTTAATATTATTTATTGCGGCACACCTTAGCCATCTTCTTTCAGATTTTTCCTCTCCTGATTGATGTAGTGTGACATTATCACCAATATGGCCCCAAAGACGGAGGCACACAGTGTGATTAACTTGAAGGCTCTTCCCTTCTGTTCTGTGCACATTATTATTATTATTTATTTTTTGCAGTTTCCAGGTGGTGTGTGTGAGCAGCAGAGTGAGAGGTATTATTTGATTTTTTTCATGCATGTAATGCTTCGAGGAGGATTCACAGTGTTTGGCTATAATGACTTATACTGCGTCTCTGTGTATCTTCCACACTTGTCAACCATGGGGACAAGACAAGGTCTTTCATTATCCCCCCACTGCTAGCTATAAGCTGTCTTTTCAAGCCACGCAAAGGGATGAGTGCTGGATTCAGTGAGATTCCCGCTCAGATCGCTCTCCAGCTGCGTGGTTGCCCTAATAAGACGCAGAGAGAGGGTTTTCTCACTGGAAAAGAAGCTTGGCCCTTGCATCCTCATGTAACAGAAAGCCTGCATCTAAAATAGGCTTTACCAAGAAGAGATGACTTGTGCAACATTTCTGGTCTATAGTTAACCAACGCTCTTTGGAGAGCTAGGCCTGATAGTTAGTTAGTTAATAGTTATCAACAGATTTCACACATTTTATAACTTAAAGGAAATAATTAATGGAATGGATGGACACTTCCTTCATGACATCTAATTTTTTTTTTTACATTTAAGCTACAGGGACGTTTTTTTGACTTACATGTTCTGGCCCCTGAAAGCAGATCCTGCACACAGGCGTCCTGAAGCCACTTTCTGTGTAGCTGGTGAGGGAAAACCTCTCCTCGAGTTTGCCCTTTGAGCAGTCATCAGAGGAGCTGCTGCAGCCGCGCAGGGCCGCCGACAGCTCTGCAGCATCAACCCAGCCCGGTCGCTCTCCGCCCGGTGGCCCGGTGGCTCCTGCTGCAGGTGGGGTAACCCGGTCTCCTGCGTGCTGGTGGCTCCGAGTCAACGTGTTGTTGTTGTCGGGGACGGTGACGCTTACTTCATGGCTTTCCGTAGTTTGGCCGCTCATGGAGGTCAGCGGAGGCAGCGGTGTCGGCGGTGCTGGTGGCCCGAGCAGGAGCACCCTCAGGTCACCGAGCAGGACGCAACAGCGGCTCTTCAGCATGCCCTGGCTGCGCAGCATCAGGCTGTCTCCGGCCAGAAATGTATTTTACAGCACCACGCAAAGATGCTGGAAGAAAACAGCAGGTACTGTATGTGTCCCCGTCATGAGCAAACACTTGACTTCATACGTCGTGGGGTGGGATAGTGGGAATCGAGGGTGGGTTTTCCAGCCTTTGTTGAGATATAAAGCCGCCTTTTAGTTTTCTACGTTGATATTCATATAGGCTATTCTAACTGAAAGTCTTTTATTGTCTTCCCACGAGAATGTAAATCCAGAAGGCAAACAAATCCCATCGATGCAAACAAGTGTCTGAAGCCATTAAGTTCAATAAATGGAACAGCTAAAAGGGGAAAGTCAAATGTTAGATTGATGGGAATATGCATTCAAGTAACTAGGCTATGGCCGTTCACTCAGTGTCCACTGTCATTTGATGTGCTTAATAGTCTGCATGCTCTGTGCAACATAAACTATCTAGACAGGCTTCTCCCTCCAGATTCACGACGAGTGCACAAGCCAAGAATCAAATCTGCCTTCGTAGGCTACAACGGACTGATATAGACTACAAAACAAAACGTCAGGGCTCAATCTTAAAAATTAAAATATTCCAACAACACGGAAAGACACATTTTAAATGTGCAGGGCTCAGATTACTGTCGACGTCTTGTAAGGCTTTCAAAGCAAACCAAGTCAATCGATGGCGTGCCATGTTAGGAAGCAAAATCTGTCTTACCTGGCGAGCTACCCCCGATTTCTATACGACTCACAGTTTCAGGATTTTACCCCCCATAGATCTCCAGCCAGACTGCAGGTCGCTGACAAGTCTGTGTGAAGCTTACATCCCCAAATATCAAATTTCCATGTCCGAGGAACAAGCCGATGGGTTCAAACCCCTCCGTTAAAATCCAACACGACTGTCGGACTGTCCTGCTCAGGGTGAAAGCATCCGTAGCCCCGGATTCTCCTGTGATCATTGGCTGCTGAATTGGTGCTGCAGCTTCAGCACCATGATTCCTGGGACAGCACCCAGACGCCACACGTCACCACCGCACGGTGATGCAAGCAGCCAACTCATTACTACAACTGTGGACTGAGACAAATAGTCTGCAAATGGTTAATTACTTGTTTTAGGTAAGCCATCCATCATTATAGAAGGAGACAATAAGTTAAAGGTGACGTTAATGTTTCCAAAGGAGGAAATATTTACTGCCTTTCATCATATATCAACAGAGAAATTAAGTTGTACCCATTAATTATCAATAATTAAATAGGTCAATTATCAGGCAACACAAGGCAAACACAAATCATTCAGCTCAGCTAAGTGTCGTTTTGTTTAACACAAATCAGATGAAATGGCTTAAACCTTAAAAATGATCTTAGAACCTTAAAAATGATGAAAGGAGTAATGCAGGCTAGATGCAAATGAGGCAGCCACCAAAAACACTTAATTCACCACATTTTCGTCTATAGAAAAAAAAGATGGTTAAGGGTTAGAGAAATTAAAATGCTGATAAAACCCAGTGGTGGAAGAAGCACCAAGACTGCTTTACAGTACAATTTACTGACTAATCAATTAATAATTTGGTTCCTAAATGGCAGAAAATGGTCGCTGATGTTCATCACAATTTCCAAAGCCCAAGTTGGCATTCAAAAAGCTTGTTTTGTCTGACTAAAAGTCTAAATATTCAGTTTACTATCGTAAAAGACTAATATTCAGATGGAACCAAATAATATTTGGCAGTTTTGCATGAAAAATGACAAATTATTAATTGCTAATTAAATGTGACGCAGATTAATGTTCTATTTTTTGTTGATTTTTAGTCAATTAATCATTACAGGACAAAAACATCAAAATACAACAATGTTAAAGCAAGTAAAAGCTTTGTGTTCAGAATTCCCCAGTAGTAAAACTACTAAAGTTTTTAAAATATAGTTAAAAAGTATAACAAAGTGTAAAATATACCAAAAGCGGGTACTCAAAATGCAGAATGACAATTTCAGGTTTGTATATGCTATTTCATTTTATTGTTTTATTAATGCATTAGCATGTACAGTAAGAAGTGTTTTAATGTTGTAGCTTTTAAATTACTTTATATGCTGTTGTTTAATCTACAATGTATGATATTTTATAAGCTGATCATACCTGGAAAAAAGTAATTAGTAACTAGGCCTATAGGTGTCAGATAAATGCAAAACATTCCCTCTTAAATGTTGTGGAGTAGTATAAAGTGGCATATGAAATACTCAAATAGTAATAAGTACAAGTACTTTTCATAAATAAAAATAAAAAGTGAACAATTCGGGGAAGCTGGACAGAAAAGACAAACAGGGGAGAGCAATTAACAGTCTAGTCTGGGCATTTAAATGAACACATCTGTGGATGGACTGTCTCAGCCAGCAGAAAAAAATTTTTCTATAGTTTTTTTTGTCTGGATTTATGAAAGACTGCGGTCAGGGTAGTGTCCATGGAGTGAGCGTTTAATGGATTGCCAACAGTGAACCGACACATTAAACTTCTAGTTCTCACTGCTGCTGGTTTTCTTTTCTGGCAGGCAATTGCCATTGATTGTTTTTACATTATCTCGTGTAAAGTAATGCCTTATTAAACAGCTAGTGAAAATAGACCAACCAAGACAGCTGATTATTTTAAGCTTAGTTTACAGAAATGCATTGGACTTAAACTAGAATTACAGGCTGACAGCAGTGATGTAAGAAGTCTTCTGTTTAAAGATTCAGTGTAACAATACTCCATTACAAGTAAAAGTCCTTAATTCAATACTCAAAGTACAGTATTATCAGCAAAATGTACTTACAGTGTCAAAGTGAAAGTACAAGTTATGCAGGACAATTGCCTTTATTTTTATTATATATAACAATATATGCTATAAAGATCATACTGTTGTAGGTGGATGATTAAAGCTAACTAACTAAAGCTAAAGTTAAAGCTAACATTAACTAGGTTACTGCTAATGTAGCCTACTATCATATTGGATTTGTTGATCATCATGTTTAGTTTAGTTAGTAAGTTACATGTTTCATTTGCAAAGTAACTAGTGGGTAGTGCTGGACGATATGGCCAAAAATGTTATTACAATAAAGTTTCATATCTTTCAATATCGATAATTATCACAATAAGTATCAAATCATTATTTCTTTCAAGTTTAAGCTTAATGTTAGCTGTCAGACAGATACATGTAAGTTAGCTAGCTAACTAGGTAGAAACTAAGTAAAAAGTACGATATTTCCCTATGTAATGTAACGTATGACTAGTAACGTTATAACTCAAAGTAGCACAAAATGGGAATATTACAGTAAGTTACATTAAAGTACAATTAGGTGAAGTCAGATTTTCAGCTGGTGCGAACAGTTTGCAGTTTACTCAATTGTCTAATTGAGTAAAATGCAAAGACATTACTTTAACGTTAACGTTACCTTTAGTTAACTAGGTAACGTTAAACGTTGCTTCTTTATATAAAGTTACAGTCTGGTTTAAAGTAGCCTAAATTACAGTTTATCAAAGAGGGTTGGATATTAGGTTAAATCTAATTTACCTTAACTTCAGTTTTTCAGACGTGCCAATGTTAAATAACGACGGATTTAGAAATAAAAGCAGATTAATAAGTTTTCATCGGTCATTTTGACGGTTTTTCTTTTGACATCTCGCTACACCATCAGACCACCACGTGCCTGCTTGTTTTGTTACGTCACTTCCTGCGCGGCAGATCCTGAACCAACAAACTGTTCACTAGCGTTAGCTGCTTCGCTCTGCTCCGTTGGTACAAATTTTACAATCTTTGCTGGCTTTATGTCACACTGCTCTCCCATGAACGAGTGATTGCACGTGTCTAACACAACTGTAACGCTGTCGATGTATTTTGTTGCTATGTTTTAACTGTTGCCGACAACGCTAGCAAACGTTACGTTAACGTTAGCTGCTAACGTCACCGTTAGCGACGCAGAGGCTGTACAAGCTTGTCATAATTGTACTGATGGGATTGCACAGATTACTTGTTTATAGGTGATGTGATGTTTTGGCTAACGTTAACTCGGAGTGTGACTGATAATCTGAATTTGTGAATGACTCAAGTAACGTTAACGAGTTAGCATTAGTTGCTGCGAAGTTCATCATAATGTCTAATCAGCTGAGTGCAGAGCAGCAGCGAAAGATTGAGGAGAACAGGAGGAGGGCTTTGGAGAGAAGAGCCCAAAGACTTGCACAAACTGTCAACAGCAGTAAGCAGACCTCAGTAGGCTTCAGCAGCACTTCACTGCAGGCACATCCCCCTGTACAGATCAATGCCTCAGATCTAGCTACCCTCGCTCATCACAGAGAGGCACCCAGCTCAGCCTCTGCACCAACATGGTTTGTCCCACCCTTCAAAAAAGACTCACAGAGCTTCAGTAACCAAAATCAAGGCACAAAGCATCAGCAGTTATCTGGCACTGACAACCAAATCAATCAGAGTACTCTATGTAACTCTACTTCTTCTAGACAGGTGAGATTTGTGCTAAAATGGTCACTCATTTATTGTTTGGAGGAAAAATTATTTCTAGTATATCCTAATTCCTTGTGCTGTCTTTCCTTGCAGATACAAGTCATTGATCCACTTCCTCAGACAAGAAGTCAACATGTGAGCAGCCCTGTCTTGTCTAGCGGAGGAAGCTTTGGTGTGAAGTCAGCTCATCCCAAACCCAACATCACCTCCAGCAGCTCAGGTGGTGCAGTTGGCTTATTCTACAAGCAAACTAGTAAACCTGCACAAAGTCCTGTGGCCCAGCTTCCCTTAAACTCCTCAACTTTGAATGCTGTACCTGCAAAAAAGCCTGCCATCTCTGTAAGAGGAAAATGTGTACCTCACGCAGAGGACCGCTTCAGGGTAGAAGTGGGCTACCATGCAGAGCTTATTGCTGTTTTCAAATCCATCCCCTCAAAGAACTATGGTAAGTATCTGCCAGTGCAACTATGCTGTTTTAGAGCTTAGCGTCTTGATGCTTTCTGCAGCCCCACACCCTTCTCTTGCCTCAGGGAAGACCACCACAAATACATTCCTGTGGGAAACACTGGTATACATATTAGATTATAAGCATATATGAATATAAATGAGCAACATTTTCTTTTGTTCCTAGATTAATTATAGGATACCTGTTAATGTCAGTACATTTTCTGAAGTGGTACAGGGAAGTAAAAAAAAACTTGGGAATCATATATTCAAAAGTGAGCTGGAATTTAAACACAATACTCAAGACAGAAAGGACAACAAAAACTGTCAATATTCAGTTTCTCAAGCTGATTGAATTATTTCATGTATACACTTCAAACCTCACCTCATAATAGGTATATGTATCAGACCTTGACAGTTTTTGAGTACTGACTTACGGTATTGTGTTCTGTAGCAGTAGGTATTGAAATTTTCAAATATTTCCTAGCCTTTTAGTGCCACAATGCATCTGTGCACATAATCAGCATAACCCGCAAGGCCAAGCAAACAATGAATGACTGAGCTCATCACTATAAAAGCAATAGAAACCGCTATCCTCTGGATAAAGATGGGTATACATTTCATGTTGTTTCATCAAAATAGTATCAGTTTTCTAAATAGGAATACCAAACTCCAAAATGTAGTTTTTCTGTACCATATGTCTGGTTTCGTACGTTCATCTCAATGTCTGTACAGTGTTTTGGAATAGTAAAGTATTCGGTTCTGCCTTAGACCCTGCCACAAAGATGTGGAACTTCAGCCTGGAGCACTATCAACAGCTAAGTATGAACATTAGGGAAATATTCATGGGAACATGCACAACTTTTTTTCTTTGAAGTACTCCAACATACACGATAGAGTATTCGTCTTCTTTGTGATGCTGCATCTCGTCTGCCCTCACTCACCCTTTGATGCAGTGGAGGAAGCAGCTACGCTCGTCTCTGTGTCTTTGAGGCCTCTGGAGGGAATGGACGCAGTGGACGTTGCAGCAGCCACCAGCCGAGCTCGTGACGGTGCGGCACTCGGGGCGCTGCTGAAGCTGTGCAATGGCTGGCAGAAACCTGGAGCCAGTCTACAGGGCCAATGCAACCTGGTGTCGCGGTCAAAGTTTGAGGTTGATGTCGGTTACCATGTCGAAGTCATCGCAGCATTCAAGCAGATGCCGACAAAGAATTATGGTAACCATCAAGTTATGCAATTAATATCCTTTTTCTGTTTTCTGGACAATCTCTGATCATGTTGAATTTGCATGTTATGGCTTCAGATATAGGATATTCTTTTTTTAATTTTTTTTTTGGTGACAGACATGAAAACAAGAAAGTGGAGCTTTTCACTTGAGGATTACAAGAGACTAAGTGAGTAACATTTTTTTTTATTTAATTGCTGTACCTGCTCCTCTTGGTTGCATTTGCCATCTTGTCTGACCGTGCTGTGTTCCATAACCAGTGGATCTCCTCAGTGGGATAGCAGCAGTGGAGGTGGAGCCTCTGCCCAGGGCAATAGTCCAGGCTTTCTCTGCCAGGTTTGACGGGACTGAAGCCAGGTCTTTAGACGTCCCCGAGGCAGACCTCTCCAGCATCGACCCCTCGCTCACCCGCAGCCTGATGCCCTTCCAGAAGGAGGGAGTCAAGTATGTGCCATTGAACAGCCATTACTGTTTGGGTGTAGCCAATAACTCAATAACAGGAGACAGCTGTTCATCTAAAATTGTCTTTGTCTTGTGCAAATTAAGAGATAATAATCATAATGATTCTGTGCCATTTCTCTTCAACTTTGCAGATTTAAAGTGTCGGATCAGTGTGACTTCGGTACACTGTCCTGCTGTGTAACGTATCATTTGACTATTTCTTTGTGTCCCTGTAGTTTTGCGGTGTCTAAACAAGGCCGCCTCCTCCTGGCTGACGACATGGGCCTGGGAAAGACTGTGCAGGCCATCTGTATAGCAGCCTACTACAGGAATGAGTGGCCCTTGCTGGTAGTGGCTCCGTCCTCTGTGCGATTCACCTGGGCTGAGGTAAAAAAAAAAAAAAGAAGAAGAAAAGAAGAAAAATGGCTCATTACTTAGTGTTAGAGTTTATCACTTCCTTTCCATTTAATGGTGTCATTATCAGTCTGCATTAAGTCAGCAGGCACCCTCTTAAGGATATCCTTCTAGTCTCCTTTGACAAAAGCTCTGCCCTACACATTAAAATGCGGGTTCTTGCTTAAAGCTCTCTGCATTTGAGGAATGTTAATATTGTATCCCAAGGACTGCTTGCACTCCGTTCGGTAATTTATCTTCAGTAGGGGACACGGCAGTGTTGAATTTCATCCTTCCATTTCTTTGTCTCATGGGTGCAGGTGCTAATTTGAATTGTGAAGCATTGATTTATGATGGAGATGCTAATGCAGCTTATTTGTTTGGCTACTTTGTTGAATTCTGTTACATCTGCTTCACCTGACATTAAACACAACATGACATGCAGCAAAAGCCCCTAGCTGATTTAGAACTGGAGATATTGTAGTAACAGACCACTAGGCCACTATGATGCTCCCACACTTGGTTTCACTGAAATGTTAGCTGTTCTTTGTCCCTGTTTTCCTTCTACAATTTCAATACTGTCTAATTTCAGAGTTCATCTCAGGTGTCCCTTTTTTCTGAGTGTGCATCTCATCTATCCTCTGCTTAATCCGCCGCAGCATTACTAGGCTGCACTAGCGGCACATTTTCAGAAGAGCTTTACTCGGCCTTCTGTCTATTGACAAGACAGTCTTGTTCTCTAAATAGATATCTTGGATCAAACACAGTTCCCCAATCAGGAGTTGGAATCGCAAAGGGAGAGTTTAGTCGCAGGATGTCGTCCCATTAAAGGACACTTGGCTCTTATCTGCAGTTAGTCTTGTGGTTTTGGCCACATCTACTGCACAACATGGGAGCTATAACTTAGTGAGTTTAAGCCAGGTTGACAGGCGAATGGCGAGCAAGTAAGTGAATTGTCAGAAACATTTGGGTCAGTGGGCATTTTTCCAAACCACATGATTGGTTGTTTCTAAGTGGAAACCCTCTGATTGTAGTTTGAATGATTTTTTTAGTGATTAGTAACATTTAAATCAGCCGTCAGTCGCGCATTTCTTAATGATGATAATGTTTCTAAGAAATGTTGGAGATTCACTTATTCCCCGTGGTAGGGGAAAAGTTTAGCCTTGATAAACAATACTGTTATTCTGGGGAGTCTTGTTTCACTCTGTTTTTCTGACATGACTAAGTCTCTGTGCCTGTAGGCCTTCAGACACTGGCTCCCCTCCCTGAGTCCTGACAGCATCAATGTGGTGGTGAAGGCCAAAGACAATCTGCGAGCTGGTTTAGTCAACATCATCAGCTACGACCTCCTGAGCAGGATGGACAAGCTGCAGGGAAACCCCTTCAATGTTCTCATCATGGTTAGCCGTGAGATTCATTAATTTAAATTGTTGCTTCGCCCTCCATATAAAAGCAGTTTCTGTACGTTATAAACAAAACAGATGATTTTGTCTTTCTGTGCAGGATGAGTCTCACTTTCTGAAGAACATCAAGACTGCTCGTTGTAAAGCAGCCTTGCCTCTGCTGAAGGTGCTTATTCTTTTGTTTTGCTTTCGTTGAATGTTTGATTTGGATTAATAAATATGTAGCGTATGCCAAAGAGGTTATATTTTCACTTGTTAGTGACGGTACCTGGCACTCAGCAGAATATCTCAAAAATATCCAGAGCAACAGATCAAAGAATACCTAATTTAGTCTGTTCAAAGAAGCAGATTCACTTACTGTAGGCACTGAGGTAAAACTTTGCTGAGTAAAACCTGGAAAAGTTTCCTTTACATTAGGTCACAAATCAGATTTGAGGAGGCTCCAGGTTTTGCAAGTAAAATTATCCAGATAATTCATGAAACCCAGATTTACATAAAATTGGCTATCAGATAGACCTTGGGCCAGTTGAACAAATGATTAGATTTTCACAGCAAACCGGATCTGGGATTTCTTCCATCAGTCTTATTCTTTTTTTAGCCTTAACTAACAAAGGCTGAGTCATGCAGTCAATGTGTGCAGCATATCTTTTTACACAGTGGACATTTGGACAGGCACAGAAAAGGCACAGGTGAGACAAATTTTGTTAAGGATGGCTCAGTTCCAGTAATTGTTCCGACAAGCCATGCCAGTGAGAGAGCATGCTCCGTACCATGATTGTGGTGGTGGAACAGCAAGCTGGAGAATAGACCAGTATTGGCAGCGGGGTGGCCCCCTCTGAGGTCCTAATACTCCAATCTGTGCATTGAACACTGCACATGAAATATTTTAAGACAGTTGTTGCACTACACAAGGTTCCAAAAATGATAAACAGCCCTTTCATACCATATTTTTTTTTGTTTACACATGCTTCAGGCTCGGATAGGATCCCAGTACTAATGAAGTCTGCTGCTGTGGCACTGTATTAGAGAGATTGTTTTGTATATGTATAGTATGTGAATAACGGCTGGTAACATAGGTTTACGAACCAGCTGAAGCAGAAAGCTTGCAGAATTTGGCTCATAGTTGGGTTTAATGTCTTGCTCTGTCATGTAGACTCCCTCAGCAGTGCTCTGATCAGAGTTTTCCCATCCGCAGGCAGCAAAGAGAGTGATTCTTCTGTCTGGGACCCCTGCCATGTCCAGACCCTCTGAGCTCTACACCCAGATTCTGACTGTCAGACCTACACTCTTCCCTCGCTTCCATGAGTTTGGGATACGGTACTGCGCCGCCAAACAGGTAGCTTAAGTCTTAAGTGTAGTGCTAGTGTAGTACTGTTGAGCTGTAATTCTAGGGCACGTCAAAAAGAAGACTTTAGTTGTGGGATTAGCAAATATTTATTTATCTGCCTCACTTGCGCAGGGGATGTTCAGCATGTGCTCTACGGTGGGACAGGTCTGCTGAACAATAGGATTATAAAGGTCATATTAGTACACTTCAAAGGCAGTGTTTGTTGGCAAAAAGCGTATACATTAAAAAATGAATAGGTTTTAAGAGTCTACAGATTCCTCTACTGTGATACTTTTTTTGTCTCCATCTCTTTTTGTAGCCATACTCTTGCCTCTTAATCTCCTTTAATTAATTTTAGTGGGTTCAAGTAGGGATCACGCTACATGATTTAAAGGCCAATTACATCTTTAATTTGGTGGTGATGACTCATTTTGAAGATAGTGGAGATTTTGCGCTGCTCTGTAAAATTTGGGTTTATCACCATGGAAGTCACATAACACAGCTTTTGCATGCCGATAGAGACTCAGTCCAGCTGGAGCTATTGCAGTTGCATGTTTGATTCCTATGACTTTTCTGTATTCTAGGTGTTCTCTAGTTTGACTTCCCAATCAATCCCAGGGTATGATTTTAAAAAGATCCTTGACATTGGACCCTACAGTCAGGCTACCTGCTGTTTGTCCCTCCATTCTTCTTTCCTACAAGCCTCTATTCTTTTCTCCCCTATTTCCCTCCTCTGTAGATGACTTGGGGATGGGACTACTCAGGCTCATCCAACCTTGGGGAGTTAAAGCTGTTGCTGGAGGAGTGTCTGATGTTGCGCCGCCTCAAGACTGACGTCCTCTCCCAGCTTCCTGCTAAACAACGCAAGGTCGTCACAGTGACTATCGATGGTATCAACACACGCACAAAAGCGGCTCTGTCAGCTGCTGCCAAGCAGTTAGCCAAGGGAAACCGTAATGTAAGTTACAATTGTTTTCCGCAGTCTCTGAATAACGAGAAACATTTTCACATGAATTATTGCTAAATGAATCATTGCCTAATTTGCAGCCAAATGCTTCACCATTTTTCCAAAAAGCCGCTGTGAATTCTATTACAATAATAAAAGAAAATTGTAAGACCCTGTTGGACTGAGGGATGTCAAGAAAGTACCTTTATAATCCATCTTTACCAGATCATTTTTAAACATCAAACTTGGCTAAAAATAGCATATTCTGTCCTTTTGAATTATTGAACACCCAAACTTGTTGATTAAATGTACCCAAAAGACAGACTTGGGATAACAAACAAATCAGATGTAGTCCATAAAAATATATGAACATAGTACCTGTTCAATGTTTTTAGATTTAGATAAGTAGTAAGAGGGGGTAGAGATTGGGACCTCAAGACAAGTCACAGATTTCAAAGACTTGATATTTCATATACGTTATATAAAATATATTAATATACAGTATTTTAAATAACAAACAGGATCCTTCCACGTTCCTCAAGTTCTCCAATTTGCTAAAAATAAAATACCGCAGTATATTTTACTCAAAATGGAATATCTGTGATCAAAAGAAAACCCTTAGAAACCCTGGTTTAGCCCAAGAAAGTCAGATTTAATGGTTCTGTCCTCTTCACACGAGGGAGTCCTCAGGCCTCAAACATACACAAGTGCTTTAAAACTGACCCAGAATACTCCAGTCAGCCTTATTTTAGTATTTATACACTCAGATAGGAGTGAGTTGCTGAACTTAATTGTTCATTATCACACTGCTCTTCAGAGTAATGGCAGTCTTATCATATCATCAAACACACTCTCCTGTCAGTTCTTATCTTGTGCTGTTCCTTATCTTTTTTTCAGAAAAGGGAAGAGAAGGAAGCCCTCCTCATCTTTTATAACCACACAGCTGAAGCCAAGCTACAAGCCATTATGTAAGCACAGACCCTTTACTGGGGGGGGATCAAATCTGATCAGTGCTGAGATTAAAATGTAAAATTAATCAGAATCTTTTGTCCAGACCATTGTGATTGCACTGGATTTGAGATTGAACTTGAAAAGTAAATACAAATGAGGACCGAATATTTTAATGCTTGCTTTGAAACAGCTGAGAGCCATGTTGTTTCTGTCACTAACAGGGAGTACATCACAGACACGCTGGAGTGTGGGAGAGAGAAGTTTCTAGTGTTTGCGCATCATAAGTTAGTCCTGGATCATATCACCACAGAATTGGGAAAAAAGGTGAGTAATATGTACAGATACCAAACCGCACAAAAGCCTTTTATGCATAGACATATAATTTTGACATAAGAGTGCATTTTGACATTTTCAACCAGACTGGCTATTCTGTGGGAGTTGAAGTCAACTCTTAGGTCAACTCTCATTAGTACCTCCAGGGAATGAGTGTGGGCAGGGCTGAGCACATTTAAGCTTAGTACTACTACTACTATATAATTTTTATATTTTTTTAATAAGGCTGAATTAGTTTGTTGATTTGTAGTGGCCCGCTACTTCTGACTTCACGCTACCATTCTGTTGTTGTGTAGGTGTCTCTTTTAAAGGATATTTGTAGGTTAGTTGTGTTGAAAATGGCAAAGCATTTAAGATGGCCTTTAATTTCTTCTACAGAATGTCAGTTACATCCGTATCGATGGGGCCACTCCATCGGCTGAACGGCAGCAGCTGTGTGAGAAGTTCCAGTACTCGACCAAGACCTGTGTGGCTGTACTGTCCATCACTGCAGCTAACATGGGTCTCACCCTGCACTCTGCTGACCTGGTGGTCTTCGCGGAGCTTTTCTGGAACCCCGGGGTAAGCCCTGGAACGTTGCCACTACAAAATACTATGTACTCAATGGGACTTTTTCAATAGGATGGATGATTACCCTTTATGGGTTTAAGGGCCACATAATAATCTTTGAGACACAGCACAACCTTGTAGGCAGCTGTTCCCAGCGAAAAAGCTCTGGTAAAGGGGGACAAATCCGCAAAAAGATTCCTCAACCTGACCTCTGTGCCTGTATATAGAGCTTCACTTCCAGGAAGGATCTTAATTGTGCTTTAATTCCAACTGTTGGCAGCTCAATTATAAGCCTAAATAATGACTTCAAATTGATATTTTTCTCAAGCAGCCATCAACCTTTAGGGGGTCGCTGCAGCTGAATGAAGGCAGTAACATTCGGTGAAACTAAAAGTTTTTTTCCTGCAGGTTCTCATTCAGGCAGAGGACAGGGTGCACCGTATTGGACAAACCAGCAATGTGAACATTCACTACCTGGTTGCTAAGGGAACTGCTGATGATCACCTGTGGTATGTGTCAGTGGACAGGATGACCTACACTGTGTTTTTAAAGTCTTTCCTCCTGTATTCGTCAGTCTTCCACTACTGTCTGCCAGCGAGCTAAAGCTAAAACTAAAACAGTAGGGGGTTGAATTGTAGCTGCACTATTATAATAACTAATAACTATATATTGATCCAGGCCAATGATCCAGGAAAAAATGAATGTCTTGGAGCAAGTGGGTCTGTCTGAATCAAGTCTTTCAGACAACGCCTTGAACGCCAGCTTCCACTCTAAGGTAAATGCTGTATCTATATATAAATAAGTGATATAACTGCTTTTATATAGATGAAAAAGGTATTAAACATATTCACACGAGGCTACGCAGCTAGCTAAATCAGAAATGTAGATTCAGTGATGAACCAGATTATTTGGACTTGTTCAGGATCCTAACCAGAAGACTATAATGGAGATGTTCCAGAGGTCATTCACGGCGGATGACGACATGGACGAAGCCATCTTACTGGAGGCTGCAAACGATTGGGAGGACACCCCACCTGAAAACAGTTCTGGTCAACATCACAGCATGGTTGGACTAAGCCCCAGCAAACGGAGCATCAAAGACTATTTCAGCAGATGACTAGGAAACTTTCCACAATGAAAATGTATCAAGATCTCTTTGTTTTGCTTATTGGAACAAGCTATCATGACTTTTGAACCTATTTTGTAAAAGTTAACAAATGCTTCAGTTATTTTAATAGATGCAAAATAATACTCTAATAAATAAACCTATATGTTTTCGCTAATAAGACTAAAGGTTGTTTTAGAATACTTCTGAAATATAACCTGACTGGTTGGTATGGTTACAGGATGTAATGTTCAGATTTCCTAAAACAGTGGCTCTGGTTTTACCTGGAAAAAACAACGTCTTAGTTTAATTCATAAACCCCAGTTCCAATTGATATGCCAGCAAGCAGCTAATAACAAGAACTTGGTGGTGCAGCTTCTAATACTTGTTATTCTAGACATTCACACAGCTAATTTAGCTAGAGTGAGTTATTATGTTATTGCTATCTTGTCATTATTAAAAAGGAAGCACATCCTAACAAGCCTAATCAATCTCATTCATATTATCACAGCGTGGTAGTAGTTAAAATTGAAATAAAAAATTGATTGTAGGCAATCCAAGACAGACTGAACTGACGGTAACACATTTTTCCTATGTGAACCCTGAAATGCTCAGTTGCTTTGCGCCTTTAAGATCCTGGTCTCCATCGTGTAGCATACAGCTGCTGTTGGGAGCCAAGACAGCATATAAACTGCTGCTGTCAGCAGCATTAAAAAACTCAACTCCCTTTAACTGGCTAAGGAATATGTGGTTACTTTGCTATCGACCCACCACCTACAACGGTATAGAGTGTGAATCCTCAAATATAGTATGTGGTGTTTAATTCATGATTCATGAGGTGACAGTGTGTTTTCTCATAATGTTACAGAATAAGCCTACAGTACAAGAGAAAGTACTAAGTGCTAATTCAGTTTGAGAGCCCTGGATCGTCACTTCCTCCTGTCTCTGGACTGTAAGGATTTGTATCATTTGGGTCACCTGTAAAGTAAAGAGGAAAATTAGCTCCAGTCTTCTGAATGACAACAACAACCACAGATTAATGAATTCCCTAGATCCTGCAACCAATGAAAGCGTATTAGATTTTAATGGTACATTTATCAGCCATAAAAATTTTGTCACCTAAACCTATAAATACTTGGGAATGGGATCACGAGAAGTTATTGTACACAGCCACAATGCAGCCGGTCAAGGTTTATTTCACTTTCTAGACAAAGGCTGTAAGAGCAGTTCATCTTCATTGCAGCTCGTGTTAGTGACATTATGAAGATCAGTGGACTCATTTTTCTCTCAATGGTAAGATGTCTCTTCTTGCTTATGTAAGCTATCTGAAATGTCACTACTAAGAGAGGTATCTATCTGCTTGCTACTCTCAATTCCCAGGACGTAATGCAGTGATTGCTGTGTCCCAGTTCAGGACGCAGAACACAGAAGAGGTCTGGCCGAACTGTCTCCTTCCCAAATACAATTTCAACCTTTACAAAGACCGAAAGTATTTTTATTTATTTATTTATTTTTTGGTTCTACATCAAAAGTAGAACATTTTAAAGGTTATAACCAGGTGGTTTCCTTCAAACAGCTGACAAAGTTTAAATATCGGTGGGATATATATAACCTGGAACATGTTACCACACAATACATGGATGGGAAAATGTTGACCAGGTTAATGGTAAATATATCCATGTAATTAATTAAGGTATTTATTAATGTATTGATAGATTTGACTGTTTTTATTCCTCACAGAACCGATGAGGAAGGAGCTAACATGTCGGTGAAACCCTTTCTTCTTCATTGCATACCTTCGTGTTGCTGGTGATGGGTATCAGAAATGTCTTCAGTTGGAGATCTTGACATTGCTGTGTTTTGATCTTTGTCTTGCTCTTTTGCTGAAAGAAAGTGATTATTTCAACCATAAAAAGTATAACTGAAAGAAGGATCGTTTCTCGCAGGAATAGGGTATAACAATGAACCAAAACATCCGAACGAAATTGTTATTTATATGAAACCAGATGGTGTGACAGATGGAAGTGACTGTCACACACATCATATGATTACCTGAAACGGTTGTGTCAGTCTCTCCATCACTGGTGAGCTCTGCATCTGAGCAGATGTCCCCGAAAATAAAACGGATCTTCTCCTCTGCATGCTGCTCACTGGAGGAGCCGTGCACCGAGTTGTGGAGGATGTCGGAGGCAAAGCGGGCCCTCAGAGAGTTTGGGGATGTCGCCTTAGCTTCGTCAGGGTCTGCGGGGCCCATCATGGCCCTCCACTCCTCCACTGCATTTTCTTTGGTCAGGACGAGCATCACACAGGGCCCACTGAAACAAAGACAGGATGTTCGTACATAGAATTCAGAGGACTGTTCTACTGTAAAGACATCGTGTTGTTACATCCTTGGCCAGTATGTGTCAGTGTGCCAGTAAATGCTGACACGTGGCTGATGAACCTTACACATTCACTGTCACTCTCACGCAGAGGAAAAGAGTGATGCACCTGCCCACCTTCTTATTATGCATGTTTATGGTTAATTTGGACTAATACAACTAATACAATAAATTTAGCAACACTATGCGACACGTTCTATTACTAAATAAGCAGCATTCATTTAGTGAATTGAACAAATGTCTAGGTTAAAAACTGCGCTGAAGTTGGTTAAAATGTGCATGTTTGTTAGATGCCTGTGTTAAATGTAGCAGCTGTTGCAACAGCATTTCAATCTCTGTATTTCAACATGTAGCTAGGACCAGTGCCCCATGACATAAGTGCTGGGTGTAGTTACAGGTGTTAACAGAGCACACTTCTGACCACACACACAGCAGGTGAAACCAGCCTTGCAAGATAAAGTACTAACCATAAAAATAAGCTTTCTACAAAACATTCACCAATTGTTAGAACATAATACTACAATTAAGGCTAAACCTGAGCTCATATTGGATATTGGACAGCGACAGTAAAGGTAGTTTGTCAGGCTGAAGTGCCCAGCTGCACCCATCTCTCTGACCATTGTGTCCGAGCAGTTGTGTAACAACCACGTGAAGGGGCTAATCAGAGCGGAAGATAACTCTAAAATCTAGATGTGCAGTGGAACAAAGAATGAAATTGAGATGGACATCCTACCCACTTGCCTGAGGCTGCCTCAATTCTAAGCTGCTAAGATTACTGTTAAAAGTGCTGTTAAAACTTGCAGCGGCAACAGGAATTAGGGCAGGTCAGCTGTAGTCACTTTTCCCTTCCGCTGTGGCTGTGTCCAGCGATAGACTAACCGACACATGAATTCCACCAGCTGGCTGAAAAAAGGCTTCTCTCTGTGCTCTTTGTAAAACTCCTCAGCCATCTCCCTTGACAGCACCGCCTCTTTCAGCTGCGTTACAGAGAAACCGCTGCCACGGATCTCCTCCAAAATCTTCTCTGTTAAGGTGAACAGAAAAGACGTTATAAAGATGATATCGTTATCGGTATGATCAAGCAAATGACCAGAAATTACCTCTGTGTTCCTCCACGGCATCAGGTTTGATTACTGCCAGTGTTTGCTGTTTAGGGAAGAAGAAGTTGATCTCTCGTTCTGCCTCTTTATTGCTTGCACTGCCATGCAGCTGGTTGATGGGCTCACTCTCCACAGCAAACTGGGCCCTCAGACTGAGCGATGAATGCAGAAGTCACCATTACGTGTGACGTGATTAAACATTTAATAGCTAATATTTGATTCTTTTCGGATAAAGTAGTGAAATGTATTGTACTAAGGCTCACCCATCTTGTCGACATTCTACTACAGCTTTCTACTTCATTTTTAAGATTGACTTTCGAGAAACCCCAGAAACTGGAGTGAACATGGAGCATTGTAGGGGGAAAACAATAGAACTTTGTCTCTAAAATTCATCTTTGTCTTGTCGGAAAAGGAAATTGATTTCATCCAGTGTGACTGTACGGGCAAACATGGCACACATTTGTGTATAATAAACCTGCAGAACCTGACAACGTTAAAATGAGAGGCCAAAAGAGAAATAGTACAATTTTACAAGCTATCACAGTGACTTCTCTGGACTCATTTAAGTGTCTAAATGAATACGACCACACATCACTCACCATTCAGGACTCTCCTCTCTGGCTGTGTTAACGTCAGAAGGACCAAGAATGTTCTTCCAGTGATGGACAGCCCCAGTTCTGGCTAGAGCCAAAGCTAGCACTGGCCCACTGTAAATATACACATGTTGAATGCCCCTCTTCAGTAACGTACAACTCTTTAGAATTTTTTAGAGCAAGTGTAAGTTACCTGGTCATGCTTCGGAGCAGTGCAGGAAAGTAGTCCTCATCAACATGTTGGAAGTAAAACTGTCTGACCTGCTCCTCGGTCAACATCACCTCTCTTTGGAGAGCCACAGTGAAACCCGACTTATGGATTTGAGCCAAGATCTCTTCTGCAGAACCACAGATATAAATATACACTCAATTTATTTGTTTAAATGTTTATTAGGTAGACACAGCTAAAGCAGTTTAATAGACCAATATTGCGATAATCCCACATTCACAAAGGTTTTATGTTCAGTTTTTGTTGAAACTGTTTCAGAGAAGTGTTGATTCAACTTTGCGTTTTTGAGGCTGCAGTTCATGGTGCTGTAGTATTGCATTATATAGAGAAGTGTTTCTGTTATTTAGTCTACCCTCATTGAGAGAAATGGGGTGGACAAAACAACAGAAACAAATGTTAGTACAATTCAATACAATTCTACAGCACCCCAATCTGCAGCCTCCAAAATGACAACAATTTATTAATGATAATAATAATAGCTTTGTTTGTATAGCATGTTTCTGTGCAGATATAAAGTGCTTTACAACAATCAATATAAAAGTATAAAGTAAAAGATAAAAATTTAAATAGGCTTCACACAATAAAAGCATTTTTATAAATATGTGCCTTAAGAAATAAAACAGGCAACTGAGTGCAGAGGCTCTGACAGCAAAGGACCTGTCTCCTTTGGTTTACAGCCTGGACCTTGGATTAGCTAGCAACACCCTACCAGAGCATCTCAGTCCGCGTCCTAGCTCATAGGGAGATAACAAGTCAGAGATATAGAAAGGGGCCAGCCCATGTCTTGCCTTAAAAGTAATTAAAATAATTTAAAAATAAATCCATAAAATAAACAGGCAGCCAGTGCAAGAATGCTAAAACTGGGGTCATATGGT